CAAATAAAAACTCGTATATGTTCAGCATTAATAGCTTCAAAAATTTTGAAATCATTAGCACAATACGCCCTCGATCATCAATCAAAACACACATTAAATAATGAAGCTGATGAAAATGTTACATGTTTGCAAATGGCGATTGCGGCTGATAGTAAGAAGTTTCTATATGAAGACGCATGCGATGCTCTATTGACATATATATGGTACGATAAATTGGATCCTTTGGGAGAACGATATCGGCTAATCTATATATATAAAGAAGAATGTTTGTCTGTTTGTCTGTTCGCTATTCACTTGGACACGGTATGAGCAAATGCAATGAAATTTTACAGGAAATACCCTTTCGCCCAGGGGGGTCATAGGGTGGTTTTCGACCCAAAACTTTCACTTGAGGGGGGGTGTTTGCCCCCTCCTTTTGTTGAATTACTACAATAAATGCCTTTTCTAGAGAGTCTGTGCGTGTGATTGTGTCTATCTATATACCATAAGGAAAAAACGTGCATATGAGTCTTTTTTTCTAGCTCACAATAATGGCATATTCGTTCTTTTTCTTGACTCACAATGATGACGCATCAGTTCTTTTTCCTGACTCACAGTGGTGCCGGATTAGTGATAAAACTGTTTTTCAGTACAGATAGATTTTTTTAAACCTTCTACTGTGTCAAGGATGTACTATCAAATTTCCCGGGCAACGCCGGGTACCTCCGCTAGTAATTAATATATTCACAATGGGTATTTCACAAATTGTCTTCTCTATCTACGATAAAAGTTCTAATCAAATTCAAATAACCGAACAAGAATCTAATGTAAGTTTAAAAATTTTCATCGTCGTTATGAATTAATACTGTACACATCTGTAGAAAACTACACGACCATCTCCACAACGACCGTAATATATATATATATAATTCTTCATTGTTTTAATATGATTTTACGATTCATTTTTTAGTTTAAAAAGTCATGGAATCAATTATACGAATGACTATCAATCTTATGAATCC